TGATTAATAATTTTTTATACTCTATTAAATAGTTGTTATAATAGTTGCTAAAAAACGTCAAATAGTTGTTAAAATAGTTATTTAAACTGTATTAAATAGTTGTATATAATTGCCAAAAAAGCCAAATAGTTATTGAAATAATTATTTATTTTCTTATAAATATTTCAACTGATATATAATTCACTTGTTTTCAGCATATTTACAAAAATGATTTATATAAATAAACTAATTATTTCTATTGTTAAAAAAGTAATATGAGTTGATAACAGTTTACACATTTTATATAATTTATATAACTATTACTTTTTGTTTTTACATATATTTGTGCAATATTTTACAATTTTATGCATATATTTTTCAAAATAACTGAAATAGTTATTTATAAGTTTTTATAGTTGCTAACCTAACAAATAGTTATTTATAGTTATAATAAAATTTCGGAAATAGCGTCCACTGGTCAAGTTAGGTGGACATACTAAGTCCCAGTTATAAGCGTTAAACCGACAAAATAATTTTTTTAGTTGGAAATCAAGACACTACTAATTTATAACAATAAAAACACGATTAAGTAATAATATAGTAATTATAAATTGTTTTGATTACATATTGATACATTTTATGCTATAATGTTAAAACACATTCAAATATTAATAGTTAACAAAAAATTATAAACTTAACTAACTATTATTATTATTTATTAATATTTCAATAAATAATTTTCATAAATTCATTTAAATTAATTAATTTTTTGATAATTATAATTAAAAATAAGATTAATTTTTTATTACAACTATTTAAAAATGTCATATTTGTAAACTGTAACGCTTTTTAAACCGTATTTATAGTATACGTAAATATATTATTATTATCAAAATATTTATAATAAATTTTATCTTATTCAAAGTAATTTGTTAGTGACTTATTTTTATAAAAAATGATAATAATTAAAATTTTAATTTAAAAAATGTTTGCTATCAAAAACTATTTCTCAATTTTTGTATAAAATTAGATTTTCTGTACGCCTTGAGGACAATCAGTGTATTGATACGGAAATTAATATAAATTATATGAATTTTATTAATAAATAAATCAATTAGATGTTAAACATCATTACCACCAATGATGACACCCTTTATGAAATGCCGACCAACCAGTTATTTATTGAATAACCGCATATCAAATGCATTACTAATAACCGCAACATTTGATTTAATTAAGTATATTATTGGAAATTGACATTTTATGATTTACAACAAACTTTAATTAATACATATACAGAATTAGTGCCATATTTTGATTAATTTGTTGTAAATTTGTTATATCATGATATCAATTAATATGAATAAAATATCAATTATTATAATTTGAAATTTTATTAAATTAGTTTATTCATTATATAAACATTTTGAATATTTTTTAATGTTTTAGTCTTGTATTGCAAAATTCAAAATTCATTAGTTTTTTTTAACAAAAGAAATTGACAATTAGTTTAATCATATTATTATTATTATTGTAAAAAAGTATATATACTGTATATGTGAACAGTTAGGTATCATATCTCGAAAACTATATCTAAATTTCAATGTTTACAAATTTGCGTTTAGTGTCATAAAATTGAACTTGATAATAAAAACATTCATTAATTTAATCAATTTTTTAATATTTTTTAGTGAACAACGAATGTCAGAGTTTTAACTTAATTTTTCATAAATTGATACAATCCCTAACTGTAACAAAAAGCTTTAATACATACAATATTAATGTCAACATATTGTATTTATAGGGTATATATTTGTATATTTGTAATTTGTACTGTATATAGGGTTAGATCAGATTCCCTCCCTCGTCTTATTTTCCATAAGTTCCTTATATTCCCTCTTCCCTGGGAATTCCCTGGGAAGACATTTCCTTGTGGTACCACCTATCGTACCATAACTCACATTACATAATGTTTAATTAAAAACACGTTTGTATAGTAAATGACTGCAAAATGTATTTAATGTTTTTACTAAATGTTTAATAATATTTGAATCATATTTTGATTGAGTTATTGCTAACATACTGGTCCCAATTGAAACACATAGTCATTGAGATTAGGTACTTTATAATGTATGACAAATTATATTTTCCCTTTCTAACGATCAAGGGAGGGAATATAATATATTTTCCATATTTTCCGGGAAAATTGGAGGGATTTTATTTGGGAACTTCCCTCCCTGGGAATCTCAATCTAACCCTAACTGTATATAAGGTATACAGCGTCACTATCAGGGTTTTAAAAATGGCAGGCATAAACAATAGATGCCAATTTTGCCAAATGCCTGCCCTGACTCTGCCATGCCCTGGGCATCTATTTTCATGTGGTGACACCTATTATTTTAATTTTATATTATTAATTAATTTATAAAACATTGTTTTTATAATATATTTGCTTGTATTTTTGTTTTGTATACCTTTAATTAAAAGGTAATATCATTGGAAATAAATAAATTGTAAATTTAATTAACACGTTAAAACACTAAATTACGTTATTTTTATAAATACAGTTGCTTTTGGCAATTTAAATTGGCAGGCAAATAAAATAGATGCCTAAAATGCCAGGCATTTATGGCATCTATTTGGGCATTGCCAGGGCAGGCATTTATTTTCTTAAAACCCTGGTCACTTTACACAACTAACACAAATAACACAATAATTGTATATTTATTACACATTTATCTTACACTGTCTTAATGTCGTCTATAATATAGACTCTATACTATTATTGTATTGTAATATACAGTCATTGTATTATAGTGTACAGTATAGGCTAAATATATAAAATTAACAAAATTAACTAAATAATATACTGTATATACATAATTATAAATTTTAAAATACTTTTATATTATTACTACTAATTATTTAAAATACGAAATAAAAGAATTGAAGTAATAATTAACAATTTCATATAATTACAATTTATGAATTTTTAACTAAAATTTAACATTTTCTCGAATAATTTAATCATAAGTTTATATCTATTGAGAGTCGTAAGCAAATGTTTGAAATATATTATTAACAAATATAACATATACTGTATACCCATATAATACTATATAATAATATAACAAAAATCATAAAATATAACAAATAGTATAATTATGTTATAAGTAGTGTAACCGTAATATACAGTAGTATAATATATCAACTTTGTTATAATAATTATGTCTATTTGTTAGTCGAAATAAAGTTTATACATAAGTATAATATATAATATTATCAAATTAATTTTAATGATTTAAAATATAGTTTACATATTTTAATGTAACAGTACATTAACACTATATAATATTTTATGCTTAATATACCGTATTTAAGGTTATATAACAATAATTAATAGTTAATATATAATAATTTTATGTCTAGACAATATTTAAATGATTTTTATAAATTTTATAAAGGAGGAATTTAATCAGATTATCGAAACTTATCAATATTAATCTATTATTAAATTAATTATTTAAATTATAGGGTAATTACTAAATTATTTAAGCACTTGCATTGGCACATATGATATTTATGTAAAGTTTTACAGATACCTATAATTTAATTAGTATTTGAAATAAACTTATTTATCAATACAAACCTTGAGGTATAAATCAATGATATATTTAAATAAAATATTTTGAATCATAAATTGTAACATTAGTTATATTTCAAATATAATAAATTATATTTTAAAGTGTACTGTAAATGAATGTAATGTTCATTAAAACTTAAGCTTTAAAAATATTATAAAATATACTAATATAAAGTCCCTATAATTTAAAATAATACTACAACTGGTAGTCTATATGTATCGTATAATGTAATACTAAATATTAATAAATTTAATTATAATTTGTAGTCATGGCTTGTATCATAAAAATATAAGTAATTTTAGCATTTAAAAAAAAACATAGATTAATAAATACAATATAGATATTTAGCAAAAATGTTTCTTTTTTTATTTGAATAAAAAAATTCAAAAATCAAAATTGTAATATTTTAATATTGAGTAGATTAAAGGTGTACTCATATAATGGACAAAAATATACTTAAATATAGTTTTTATATTAAAATAATTATTATTAAATAAATATAGATAATTGATAAATAATTTATTTTTTATATTATAAAGATATATAATGAAATGTTATTTTTTAATACAATGAAATACATTAACTTCAATGCATTATCAATACATGATTTGATATGATTTGGTTAAGTAATGATTTTAAAAATATCAGTTATAACAAATTAAAATACAAAATAATTAAATTGATTGAAAGATAATAAATATTTTTTACAAATTTTATATACTATAAAATATTATTTAAGAAAGTTTACTATAATATCTATAAAATCATAAATGACTAAATATAATGTTAATTAAATTAAAATTTATTTAGTATAATATATGACTATTCAAATATACTGTACATTATATACTTTATTATATTATATTAATATTTCTATTAAATTATTAATTTGTTTTTAATAGTTTATTAAAAGATTATATTTTCAATAGACTTGAATTGAAAACTAATTAAAACTGAAATTTTTCTAATTAATGACTAATTTGTTATATTTTAATACATTTTTATTAAATAAATAATATATAAAAAGTTAAATATTATTTACTATACATTATATACAGTACAGTATATTAAATTAAATATTTTATGAAATAATTAATTTAAATATTCAAATATATATAATTTTATATAATTATAATGACCATGATCAATTATTACATTATTACTAATAATTATAATATAAAATTAATATAATGTAAATTATAATATATAATACATTATTAATACAACGTTATTGATTGTATGCAATAAACAGCTGTTGTATTAAATGGACAAAACATAACATTTGAAGACAACGTATGATATAATAAATAACAACAAAATGGAGAGTAAATTGACTTTATATGGGAGAGGGTTTGACTATACATTCATTAATAATGAGTCACTGAGTTAGTGATGAGTGAGTCAGTGAGTGAGTCTGTGAGTGAGTCTGTGAGTGAGTCAGTGAGTGAGTCTGTGAGTGAGTCTGTGAGTGAGTCAGTGAGTGAGTCTGTGAGTGAGTCTGTGAGTGAGTCTGTGAGTGAGTCTGTGAGTGAGTCTGTGAGTCATTGATTCAAACAGTTGTGTTGTTTGTTATATTAAATGAGTAAATCATATGAGTGTTAGTAAACATAGCATTAGTGTTGTTGTTATGTTAGAAATGGAGTCATCGGTGCTATTGTTGGACACTTCAGGCAATAATAGTCAGACTAATAGTAATACTATTAGTAATAATAATAATAATAACAATAATAATAGTAATCTAATGGACAGAATTGATGAGATCACTCAAGAAGTGGTCCAAGAAATGAGTCAATCCATACAATCAATACAACAATTAAGTGAAGAGTTGACTGAATCGCCGAAAAAGCGATTCAAAAGTGAGTCTTCAGTGGTCGAGACCACCAAACAAGTGGTCGACCAGAAGTTAGAGCACCGGTTGGGAGGCATACTGTGCTGTGCTGTATGTCTTGATCTCCCAAAGTCTGGCATCTTTCAGGTATGACTATTCATATCTTATTTACTATCAATCAATTGATCCATTAGTTAACTACTATTGCCTTAAACTAACCCATCAATTGATAACACAGTTTCCTATGATTTTTACATTTTTATTAATGTTTTATCATATAATATGATATTATAGCAAAAACAATGTATGAATATAACAATTGACTATTAAATTAGTCTATTATTATTATTATATAGAAATTGGCATCAAATGTAAATTTTATAACATATGTCTATCGGTTAAAACTATAAACAAATAGTTTTTAATAAATTTGTCAAACAATATATGTTTACAAAAATAGTGTTAACCGATTAGTGTATAATATTTAATTGAATTATGATATATAAATTATCAATTTTTATAATGCCATCAATGGACAGGTATGTATATTGATAATACAAATATCCTCATTAATGGACTGTTAGGTGAACAGTGCATATAAGCATTATTGGTAAGTATTTTGAATAAATGTCATTCAATTAGCAAAGTAATCAAATGTAAGCTTAGGTTATTGACATTTATATACAATTGAAGTGATGATAAAATAATTTGATTTAAGTAAAACTACTACCATTATCAGTACTGTTTACTATTGATTTATTTTAATTATATATACTTTATAAATCTACACTATAGTAGTGGTAAGTGTGAGTTACTGTTTAATTATATTTAAAATTTCAATTTGAAATACATGTCTATTTGTTACGATATGTGTGTTTGTCTACATTAATATTTTATTGCAACAGTTTGATTTTTTGCTATAATTTATCTTAATTATAAAATTATTTTAAATATTTATCAAAATTAACTAATTAAGCTTATTGTATTCTGATTTTTAAATTTTGTAATTTTAAATGAAATGTTATTTATTTTAATGATAAACAAAATTTATGTAAATTCATAAATTTATAGACTGTATTTAATAAATATAACGATAAATCAAATAAAGCTAGTATTATACCAAATTATTATTAAATGTTTTATTTAATAACTTGTATTTTTTATAAAACGTTTATTATATTTCTAAGTATTTTAATTATTTAGATTTTGTTGTTGTTGTTGAAAACCTTAACCCAAATAAGGTTTGCATTCAACATAAATATTAATATATATTTATTAATAACAAAATTAAAAAAGGGTTGTAAATTTGTATAATTAACTTATATTATAAATAATATGAATAATAATGTTGAATAAATAACTTTATATTCATATAAAGTGCACAAATGGGCACCTGATGTGCGCCGGATGTTTCACTCACTTGTTGGCTGATGGTATGAATTTGGATAAGATGTGCCATAACTTATAATGAGTTTGTTTAACGTATTATTGTACAGCACGATTGCGGGACGAGACGGCCACGTGTCCAAACTGTCGGTGCGTGATTTCACGTGATTTGTGTTCACGTAATTTGGCGGTCGAGAAAGCTGTTTGTGAATTACCCGGTTTGTGTCGCTTCTGCAACCAAGAGCTGCCCCGCGCTCTCCTCAATAAACACCAGTTTGAATATTGTGAGGAACGCATCGTTTGCTGTACTTATTCTCGCATTGGTTGTCCCTGGAGTGGACCCTATCATGAATCTGGTAATCAATTAGTTTTATTATCAATTGATTGTTTCATATATCATATACTGCTATATCTGCTATAGGCTCGCACTCATCTTCATGTATTCATCCAAACAAAACTGGACGCGAAGTATTGGATGTGTTGTTGACATCAGATAAAGAGGCAAAAGAAGACAAAAAGCTATACGACTCGATATTTGATTTGTTATCATTTGAAAAGATAACATTCAATGATTTACAATTAAAGCCCTATCGTACCGATGAATACATACATAAACTATATTATGAAACCTCACGGTTTACCGCATTTAATACCCAATGGGTTGTTAAGGCCAGAGTTAATGAGGATCAGAGAGATCCGACTCAATTTTGTGAGAGACAACTGGGCTATCAAATTGTCCTTAAAAGTAAACTGACTACTCCTATGGTCATTCATTATGTCGTGCTTAAGGTATTTGACTAAATATTAATTATTTTATTGAACTAATAAATCTTAATGAATATTAAGGGTCCATTTGGTGATATGAAACTATATCCACAATTACATAAACATGAGTTCAATGAATCAAGTAATGAGAGTCCTTTTCAATCAATTCAATTACATGATTCACATGAATGTAACAAATTATTGGCTGCAAAGGTAATTATAAGATAAACTGATAAAAACAAAAGTTTTATATCAATATTTTTAAACACATTTATTTGTTAGGCCATCAACTTTCGTCTAATTATGTTTCAAATGCAAAAGTAATTTAAACATTTTATTTATATTCAACGTTTGATTTAATCGATATTTAATTAATCATTCACTAGTGTTTCGACTAAATACAATATATAATTAGTAATTAGCTTTTATTTACACATTATGTGATTCAATAATATTGTGTTAAAATTATAATTTTTTTGATAATTAAATTTTTAAAATGTTGTTAAATATTATATATAAATTCTTCTACTAAAAGTCATGTAATAGCGTAAACAAATAATTGTGCAAATAATTTAATTTTATGTCCATATTTTTCTGCAATTTAATATAAAGAATATATGAAATAAAAGTCTATTATCAATGTATTAAATGATATTTACACATTTCACTGATGAATAATGACAATAAATATTATTATTTTATAATTGTTAAACAATACACAATGGATTTGGATGTAATTGGATCTATTGATTTAATTAATTTGATATTTGTTAATTGATTAAATCAATCCAATTACTATTAGTTCATTAGATATTTTTGGACATTAATTGTCTTTGTATTTAATATACAGTATATTATCACGAGTTTAGGTTAAGAGAGATTACCGTAATATATAAATAAATATAATATAATTAATATATGATTTGTTTTATTTTAGTTTACATTTTAGTCTATAAACATTAGGCTAAAATTAATGATTTAATTTTATATATGAAACAAAATGTTAGTTTTAAATGTAATGATATGATATTAATTTTGTACAATTCATTTAACATTTAATAAGTTATACATTTAAATTTATATACACATGAGAAAAAATATATCATATATTACCGTAAGTTTGAATAAATTCATTCAAAACTGATATTAACTTACAGATTAATAATAATACTTTAATAATATATAGTTATTTAATAATAACATTTCAGTTACAATTGTAATGTTAAAAGTATTACATGAATTTATTCAATTTTAATATACAATTTGTATAACTATTTTCTGTGTATTGTTAAAAATATTATTTGACACTATCTTTTAGATTAAAATATCCAATACTTTATGTTTTACGGTACCAAATGGTGTATTTGAACAGCTTTTTAAATAAAAATTATAATTATATTTTATCATAGATTTATAAAACATATTATCTGTTAATTCATAAAATACCAGTTATTGTTTATCATAAGAAATGCAATATTTTAAAGATTATATTTACTGTATACTTATATATAAATATAATTATAATCTTTTATTACAAAATAAATATATAATGTATTAATAAAATAAAAGTTCATTGAAATTGAAAAAATTGTTAAATACTAAGTAATTAATATTTGGTTTACACTAAAAGTCCTAAATATGTTGATCGTTGATATTTACGCTGAAGTTGTGGCCATTGAACCAGAAAGTGGTCACAAATGGCTAAATAGTAGAGAATTTTGCCCGAAAGGGACAGACATTCAGTCCTACAGAAACTCTCGACAAATACAATGCAAACATTTGTTGGCAATAGTGTTGCGGCCAAACATATGGGCAAACAAACTCCCGGTCCGTTACAAATCAACAGTTGTGGCCTAACTGTTATCACAATTATCATTGACTGTATTAACGATATAAATGTGGTAATCAATGATGTAATATAACTTTGTCCCACTGAACGACTTCTTGTAATTGTCTTCACCTCACAGTCTGGTAATGTTTGTCTCAATTTTGTCACTTTTTCAACACTTAACATATCATTATTGGCCACAATTAATGTAATTGGACTGTATTTGCCATTAGATTTTCCAACATTTAAATGAGACAACAGTGCCATCATTTCCTGAGTGTGTCCACCGCTTCCCATAACAGCCATCACTGATACAAATCCATGTTTGGCACCAATAATGCAAAACTTAGTTAATAACAAAATCATTGCTTTCATTGCTATTAATAGTAGAAACACTAACACTGCAAACCATACAATCAAATATATCATATTTCCTAATAATCCAAACATTATTTTAAATTAATCACAAATATAGGAAAATTTGTTAAAATTATTGATAATCAAAGTTAGTTTATTTATAAATACTAAATATTGTATTAATATATGAATCATATAATATGATATATAAATTAATAGTTATATAATATATGTTTGTTTACATCAAACATGTGTTGAAAGTATCAATAATGCAATAATACTGTAGATGTCATTACATGTGATAGCAATTGAGGTCAATATAAACTTTAAACCAATCAAATGTCGACAACTTTAAAGACATGTTTTATATAAGTTTATCCAATATTTGTGTATATATTTTGTTGAACCCATGTTTGTGAGCCCAACCCCAGGCTTTCAAAGCATTTATATAATAACAACAAAATTATATATATTTGTAAAAATGTGTGCAATTTATAGCATTTGTTGTCAAACAAGTATTGGCCACTAAATCAAGTCAATCGTATTAAAGGCATAATTGCTTACAATTCCCCCACAACTCCCCCGACAACTGTTTGGTCACTCATTTGAATTGAAACTCCATTTTCGCAATCATTGAAAATCTTAAAACAAATTGTTTGACAAATGCTTTCAATTATTCAAATTAATACCTTATTTGTCGATAAATTAATTAACAATTTTATTGTTTATTTTATTATGTGTTTTGTATTTACATTTGATATATAATGTTTTAAATGAATATAAAATAAAACTGACCATGATCATTTATATAAATGATATTATTATATATATATAATAAACTTTGTGATATATAATCTGAATAATCCTATGGATTAACTAATCTGAATAATAATAAAGATCTGATTTAACAAACAGATTAACAAATTTACTAAAGTTATGGATTTATTATAGCATTAAATGTCGATTATGTGGACAATCGACACAACAATTATAATATGTTTTTATAATCTCAATAATAATTGGTTTTACAATTAGGTTTGTATTCATTTGAATCTATATTACAAACATTTGTTTTATATAAAGTTGTCATATATTTCATAATTTATAGGATATAATCCTATAATATATAAAAGTAAATCTTACTTATCATACTATAAATAAAATACTAGAAATATATGATATTTATTATTATTGTATATAATTATATTTATAATAAATAAGTAGTTATTTCTTTATATAATATGTGATATTTATAATAAAATAAATATCATATACATGTATGATATAATCCCATATAGTATAAGTAAATTACATTTAAAACTTTTAAACATAAAATATTTGTTTGTATTTTGATGTCTATTTAAAGTTTGAAAATATTTAAATAATTTGAAAGATTGACAAAATTGAGATTTTTATTTACTATAAAAGTGAATGTTTAAACAGATTTTATTTGGAAAATATAATTAAATGTATTATAAAAGCCATATATACTAACAAAAAGTTATGAAAAACATGTAAATGAGGTCTCAATTGAATGATATTACGACTCATTGAATAAGTCATACCTTAAGAAGTCATAACTTTTCTCATAAGTAGAGCATTACTATTGAGTTAACTGTTTGTATAAACTGTTGATTGCTTTAAGGCTTGTCATTAGTTATAATAAGTTATGCCATCAAATGCATTGATTTTTAATATATATTTAACTTTAACTTTAGTTTTCTTTCAAATTATATAATATAAATAACAAACATTTGCAATATTAAAATTTGTCACAACTTGTATGTCATGTTATGTAATATCTATTGTATAGTAAGTTGTGTACAAATATTAAACATAAATTATTCTTTATATTATTAATTATTATTTTATATACAGTATTGTTTCAATTTATGTACAAATTATATCTTTTAATATATAATTGTTTTTTTTATAAATAATGAAATTAATGTATGGTTTCTACTTTCAGATCTTAACAAATGGTTTGTCACAAAACCGGAATCTCTTAATGACAACATTATGGACAACAAAAATTTTAATATATATTTTATACTTTTATTATACATTTTAATAAATGACACACTTTTTGTTTTAGGCGGTAAGTTAATTATTTAATTAAATTTAATATAAATTTAAACCAAAATTAATAAGATTTTAAGATTATATTTCTATATTGCAAATTTGCCTGAAGTTAGTTTAGTTTCAAATGAAAATTATTGATACTTTAATTAAATAATATAATATGAATATATACTGTACAGCTCCCGATCCGCCACGGGAATTATCAATTGATGTCCAATCGGGTAAATCTGTAGAACTCGATTGGAAGCCACCAATTAAAGGGGGAGTCAGTGGTTATAAATTAGCAATAGTTCCGCTATCAGAACAAGATGAGACCGGTATTCGCAATCTTGAAGTCGGTGCCAATGATCCCTTTCCTGTTGCCATAAGAGATCTGACTCCCGGGGCTTCATATGAGGTTCAGTTGCACTCAGTTTTATTAGGGAAGCCATCAAATGTATTTCTATCGGCCAACTTTACGACCAAACCTAACACTCCCGGAAGATTTATAGTATGGTTCAGGAATGAGACAACACTTTTGGTGTTATGGCAGCCGCCATATCCGGCCGGCATTTTTGATCAATACAGAGTCAGCATTGTTCCCAATGATGCCACACAGTCGATCCTATTTGTTGAAAAAGAAACTGAACCTCCCGGTCCAGCTCAAGCAGCTTTTTATGGTTTAACGCCTGGCAGAGCATATAATATATCGGTGCAAACAGTTAGTCACTCACAACTTAGTGATCCCACAGAAGCTCAATACAGAACAGTTCCCTTACCGCCAACTAATGTCACGTTTGATAGAAACACTATATCTTCCTATTCTTTTGATGTCCATTGGAGTCCTCCTAAGTCTATGTCAGAGTTTGATAGATATCAGGTCTCATTGGGTATTAGAAACTCATTACCGAAAATAGTGGCCAAAGATGATACCAGAATTGCACATTTTGCTGAAGATTTAGATCCAGGAAAGACATATGAAGTGGTTGTGAAATCTGTTTCGGGAAACGTTGCTTCTTGGCCTGTGTCCGGTAATATTACTACCAGACCTTTACCTGTAATGAACTTAAAAGCAAAACCTGGAGAAGTGTCAGATATATACTTGGAGTGGTCGGCAAACAATGAAAGTACTCAAGACTCGTATATGATTACATACCACGAACTCGAAGCTTTCAATTCCGATGGTTCGGTACAAGTGGTTAAAGATACTCATCTTCATCTGACAGGTTTGTTGTCAGGCCGTAACTACTCGATAGCAGTAGTGGCCATATCTAAAAATGTTTACAGCGAAAACACTGTTGTCTATCAACCCACTCGACCTGCCAGTCCTGTCATTGGTGTTGTTGAGCCTATATCTGGTCATAGTCTGAATGTTTCGTGGAAATGGGATGTGACTTCTAAGCAAGATTCTTATAAAATTGTGTGGACACGCAGTGATACTAAAGAGAAGAAAGAGGCAGTTATTAAAAATAATTGGCATCTTCTTGAAGATCTTTATCCTGGAGCTGGTTATGAAATATCAGTGTCGGCTATAAGTTATGGATTGATGTCTGAACCGCATTCATATTTCCAGACTGTTGTTCCGCAATCTCCCGATAAATTCCAGATAGCAATGCATACTAATTCATCATTAAGTCTTACATGGAGTTCTTCAACAGAATCTCTTGTCGATCACTATATTATTCGTTACCGACCTATCGGTAGCAGTGTTTGGCGTGAATTGACACCAATTAATAGCACTTCGTATGAAATTAAGGATTTAACTGCGGGTCAGAAATATGTAGTTAGAGTTTCGTCGGTCAGCAATAAAGCCGAAAGTCCTGATATTCGGGAAGTCGAACAAACACTTTCACCGAATCCTATATTCGATGTCAAGCATACTATTGATTCACATAATATATCATTTCAATGGTTGGTTCCAAGTGGACGAATAGATTATTATAACATTGTCTATAACACTGTTAAAGAGGCCACAAAACAGGAGTCAAAACAAATTAATGCTTCGAATGACACCGAAATGATGTCTGTATTAATTGATTCACTAAAACCTGGAGAACAGTATTCCTTTCGATTCTATGTCATCAGTCATAAGATCAGAAGTGAAGGAATTGGTTTACAAATCAGAACAAGTAATTAGATTTCTATATTATAATAAATTTATTAATTTTGATATATTTTCAAATATAGTGCCAGTAATTGATTCAGTTATTAATGTGGTTATCGATGAACACGAGACTAAAGTGTTGAGAATTAAATACACTCCAACTCCGACTCGTAATGTTGTCTTTGATAGATATAGATTTCAATTGAGTGGTACTAACATTCCGGCGCAGGAAAAGATGTTTAATGACACCAATAGACTCGTCGTGTTTGAGAATCTAGTTCCCGGACGTCTCTATAATCTTAGCATTTGGACAGTTAGTGGCGGCACATCATCTTTACCAATACAACGACACGCTCGTCTATATCCCGAACCGATACGTTCAATATCGGCATTATCTGTGACCGATAGTCAGATTACACTTTCATGGGAAGTGCCTTATGGTGATAAAGATGGATATGAAGTGCAGTATTTGGATCCACATGAGAAAAGTCTTGTGGTTAATGTGACATTTTCTGAAAAAATTGATTACTTAAATCTTAAACCGCATAATAATTATACATTTGTTGTGACAACTTTATCGGGTTATGGAACCCCAACAATGCTCAGGAGTTCGCCTGTTTCGCAGACATTTCTCACATTAGAATCAATTCCTGGAAAAGTTATAAATTTTCAGTCAATTGAGACTAAACCAAATGAAATTACACTTCAGTGGTCACTTCCGTCATCAGAAATGAATGGTATTTTGACGGGTTTTAAAATAAGTTATTACATAAAAGGAAATCCAGTTATGAAACATCAATTATTTGAACCGATTGATACTCAGGGAACTATTTATAATCTAATACCTGGCAAACCATATGTCTTTCAAATACAAGCGCATACCAAAGTGGGTCCGGGACAGAAAGCTATTTGGGAAGAAATTATGCCCATATGGTCGGCACCTCCACCAGCAGATAATGTATTTCCCACAGAAGTAGCGCACACGTCAACTACTATTAGGATTAGATTCAGAAAAAATTATTTCTCAAATATGTACGGACCGGTCACTGCATTTGCAGTGATTGTGGCGGAAGACGACAAAATTAATACAAATCATTTAGAACTGCTCTCTTGGTTTGATGTTCAGGACTATTCTGTTTGGCCACCATATCAAACATCAGAAGCTTTCTATCCTTTTAACACAACTATTACTGAAGACTTTACTGTTGGTGCTGATGATTGTACCACAAAAAGCAGTCGCAAATATTGTAACGGACCACTCAAACCGGGAACTACTTTTAAAATAAAGATTAGAGCTTTTACTACGACAGAGAAGTTTACTGATACTGTCTATTCTTACACAATATCTACTGATCCCAATAATACGGCTCTGTATTTGGGAATATGTTTACCATTATTATTATTGCTGTTATTAATAGCAATAGTGATATATTTAAAACAACGAAGACTCGGACCATTCAGTGCCACTAAAAAGATGAATAATATTCACAACAATGGAAAAGAAGATTCACTTTCTATTACTGAAAGTGAATTAATAACGAGTCGACCCATAAAACTGAAAGACTTTGGCGAACACTTCCGCATAATGTCAGCCGATTCTGACTTTAGGTTTTCTGAAGAGTTTGAACTTCTCAAACACGTGGGACGGGATAAGCCGTGTAATGCGGCCGATCTGCCAGCGAATAGACCTAAGAATCGATTTACAAATATACTTCCGTACGACCACTCGAGAGTCAAATTGTTACCGACTGATGATGAGGACGGCTCTGATTTTATTAATTCCAATTATATTCCTGGATATAACAGTCCCCGAGAATTCATCGTAACTCAGGGACCGCTTCACAGCACTCGCGATGACTTTTGGCGTATGGTTTGGGAGCAAAACTCCAGAGCTATTGTTATGCTTACCCGTTGTATTGAAAAGGGTAGAGAAAAGTGTGATCATTACTGGCCTTATGATACACAACCAGCCTTTTATGGTGACATTCAGGTGACAATACTCAATGAATCTCAATATCCAGATTGGACTATATGTGAGTTCAAAGTGCAACGAGTAAGTGATGAATATATCAATTATATTGAAAATGATTTGTTTGCAGATAATTGTGTTAATGATATTTGTTTGATATAAAGGGTGATCAGTCAAGAATAGTACGTCACTTTCATTTCACTACTTGGCCTGACTTTGGAGTACCTGAGCCGCCAAAAACTTTAGTAAAATTTGTTAGAGCTTTTAGAGAGCGGTGTTCACCGGACAGCAACAAACCCATTATAGTCCACTGTTCGGCCGGAGTCGGGCGCTCCGGTACTTTCATAGCATTAGATCGTATATTACAACGAATTAATAAATATGAATCGGTCGACATATTTGGTATCGTTTATGAAATGCGTAAAGAAAGGGTTTGGATGGTCCAGAATGAGGTCAGTCCTACTTTTACACACACAAAGTGTAATTGAAATTAATTACGGGATTTGTTTTTATTTACAATAATAGCAACAATATATATGTATTCACGAATGCCTTCTCTGCGTTCTCGAGGGTAAAGAAGATCTCATGGATTCTCCACGACTTGAAATGCATGACAACCAAGGATTTGAAGGTTTGCTTTCATCTAATTTATTAATTATATAATTATAAAAATCATTTCTAAATATAACCAATAATTCGGTTAAATTTTCAGAAAGTACTCAAAACAGTGAATTTATAAAAATAATTTAAAATTGATTGCTTGCATATCACAAATGTTAATATTTGTTAATATTAGTTATCAAACCATTAGTTTGAAATGAAATTATTAAGTAATTTGAAAAAAGGACACAAAAGGAAATCATTTATGGAGAACGACACCCAAAATGTAAATTAATAAATGATTTTTGAATATAACTTACGTTAGTGTTTAGTAATATTTTTTTGATAACTAATTTGCACATAAAATTTCATTGCAATTAATGATCGTTCGCTTTATTGTATAAATTTTTAGACCAAAATTTATTTTTAATTTATAAAAATATACATAAAATATTTCAAAATACTGTCCAATTAAATGAAAAATAATATTTTTTTTATATTTATTTCAGATGACGAGGGAATCGCTGAATCGGGAATTTAACAAATTTGTGTCAATCAATAATATAAATAAATGCAACTATTTTTATGGTTTTTTTATGTTTACCGTAATGTTTTGTACTAATTTTTAAATAATTATTTATTTATAGATTTATAAATATTTTTTATGTATTTAATTATTATTAAATAAAGAATTTCTATTTTTCTGAATATCTCTTAATTGTTTGAATAATTGCACGATTTGTTCAACAATTCTATTCTCTTCTTCAGTAAGATTTTCTTGAGTTCTTTCTTCGCTATCGATTCCAATGACATAAACACTCGGCTATACATTCAAAGTATTAAATAATAATATTATTTAAATGATAATATCTTTCAACTAAAAAAAATACCTGAAAAGAATCACTCGTTAATTGTTGACTAAGAATTTCAACCATTTCTTGTCTTCCGTCTTCAAGGGTTTTCTCATATATCAATTTCAATGGTATTGAATCAGATTGTGATGATATTGATGTAGTACTTGTGTTTGGATCAGCTGATACTTGTGTAATAACTGTCGAGGTTGAAGGTATTACGCGAGTCAATGGTAGTGTTTGTGTTGAATTCAAAGACTGTGCTCTTATTGTAGATTCATTGGGAAATAAAGGAGTTTGCGATCTGATTGGTGTTGATGTCATTATTTGTGGTGTAATTGTTTCGTTTCTTGATGTCGATGGCGTCTCATCTGATATCATGTCACTACTAGTGGATGTGTTTCTGATATTACGATTAATTCTTATAATTTTTGATTTTTTAGGTCTAATAATGTTGTCTGGGTTTTCATTTGCAGATAAGTTTCGTTTGTTATTATTGGTTGTCAAACATTTACTAACTTTAATATTATTATCTTTCGTATTACTTCTTAAAGTTGTAGACTCTTCTTGTAGATTACTTTGCAACAAAACTAATGATATTTCTTTGAATACATTTATGTCGTATTTCAGAAAAAATTTTATGACAAAAGTCCTTAAATGAAGAGGAATATCGGATTCTGTAAATTATAGCAATTTATATTAATATATTGTACAGTATTTAACTAAACAGTAAATAAATATCTAATAAATACCTTTAATACTGATTTGTTTATTAATGGTTAGATAGAAATGATTGTCATACGAACGGTTGACTAAATTGATTTCAGGAAATACTTGTTTTTTATGTTCATTGTCTATGAGTTCAAACACTTTTGCCACAACATTATGATTTCTGCGGATAAGTGTCACATCATTGCCTCCCATATCATGCAAATAAACTTCTATTTCGGGAATCGAGTTGTTTTGTGCTTCAATTGGAAGATTAGGTTCTATTATAATATCAATAGGGTTTCCCAATTGCACCTCAATGTCCAACTTTTCTTTATTTTCAATCGACATCAATGATATCTCAAATGTTATAATAATCTATTAAAATAAATAGTAAATTGCAGGTAATAGTAAATTTTCATTTTAAATATTATCAATACATTGTCCATTATTTTTCCTAATATAACCACATTCTTCAATATAAGTTTATGGCCTTTAATCTCAGTCGCCTCGACATTGACAATGAAATCACTAATAATAAACAAAATCAAATAAATATATTCTACAGCATTACTGGTGTGTATAAGAATCAGTATTATAATCAATGTCTTACTTGTGTTTAATTTCAGGTGAATATACTGTATTGGAATCGGGTTTCACTAAATTATCGAACTGATCGAACAATTCAAGTGTCAGATTAAATGGTTTTCCAATCATAACTTTCAGATTATTTTCAGAGACAACAAAATGATTGGTCTCATCGGGAATGACAGTAAATTTCATGGGTGGTAGAGAAGGCAGCGCATCTCCATTTGCAAACTTTGCTGTCATTGAGCTATCAGTTCCAGTGGTTGAGTTAAGACAAACACAAACTATTTGATACTTTCCAGCCTTATTAATGCCATCTAAAAAATAAATATTATTTATAAATTAAATATTAATATACTAATCAACTATTAATGATTAAAACCTGTTTGTGTGAACCAATAATCCCAATCCTTTGAATAATGTGCCAAAGGATACTCAATTTCAGTAACTGTTTCGTTGTCTAAATCAAAACATTTAAATTAATCATAAAAATCAACGATTTGTGTCACTATATAACTTACTTTCAATTTCGCGAAGTATTTCCAATTGAATGCTTAGCTTTTTATGAGTTCCTTTATACGGAATGCGATCCGTTTGTAATTTTTCAGAATTAGAATTCAAGAGTTCGACTCTAATGTCACCAATAGGTCGACCGGCCACAAGTTGGTCGCCTTCTTTTATTGGATACCTTTTAGGAAAAGTCAATTTAATACTTTCGGGTAATCGACAATAAAGTTTGTCCAATTCTTGGCCAATTATGTCCAATTCGGCTTCAATATTAATTTTAATGAAATGAATTATTTTTGACGATTCAGAACCATTTCCATAGATTTCTTCAGGCAATTGATGTATTTCAACAAAACCGGGAGAACCGATGTAATCGCCGCTACATTTAACGGGAACTAAGAATTTATCAATTTTTCCAATTAATTTCTGAGGTCTAGTGTGTTGTGTTTGAATGATATCTCCTTTTTTCAAAAATTTGTTTCTCCACTCAATTTTATTAAACACAGAAAACACGTTAGTTATCGAAAGCTTCCTTAAAGATTGAATATCAACACGTGGTATATCACCTATCAATTAAAATAAATTTAAGATTAGCATAGATTTACTAAAACAATATAACAGACTCACATTGATACTCAAAATAGTGGACCTGTTTATCGAGTTTTGTATGACAATTCTTAAGCCAATTCATAAATTCATTTTCGAAATTACATCTGACTCTTCTTCCTTGTCCATCAACTTTATAAAACACAAGTTTCTGTGTTTGAGACATCAATCGATTCAAATCCATAAAACTTTGCTTATTTTGTGAGACTTGAAAACAGGCGTCAGTAAAGAGTGCACCGGATAATCGGTTATAGCATTCTTCAAGTTCTTTAGTACAATTGGTATTCTTCGGATTGTATTTATTCCATTCAAAGTCAATGCAATCTTGTGGTATAAGTCTTCCGTGCCAAAAACATTCAAACACTTCACGCATCTTCTTTCGGGTTGCTTTTTGCATACAATCTTCAATGTCTTCATCGATAGTTCTCGAAGACGCAACAGACGTGGATTCGGTCAGATCATCATATATTGTGAGCTCCGGTATAGTTTCACTATCGTATTCATACGGATGATAACGAATAACTCCTTCAATAACCGCTGGCATGTTATCACTGTTTTGTCGGTCTGAATGTTCGACTTCAAACAGAAATGAATCCTTTGCCGAACGAATTAAAAGTGATTCGTAATCATCGTTAATATCTTTCAAATTTATTTGATGTTTTAATTGTGTTTCGATATTCTCTTCGAGTTTAATCTGAAATATCTTTATAATAATATTGATATCCTGTAGTTCTTTAACAATATTTTGTTTTTCATTTTTATTACCATCGGGTCCGTGAAGATAATAGTGATAAACTCTGGCTAAACCTTTAGTCCAATAGTTCATGTTTTCCGTATTCCGTTTGAACTGAATGTGATGTTTCGCAAAGACATCTTTTATACAGCAAATGGTGAAACTTTTGTAATCGTTTTCAATTTCAATAATAATTGAGTTCTCGATTTGATCCATAATTGTAGGGTTTTTTTTCAAAGGTCTTTCAGATCCTTTCGTTCTCTGAATGAGTTCTTCTTTATAAACACCGCTCGGATTAATACGAGTTTTTTCATCAAATTTACTCTTCGAAAGTGTCAATTCAAAGACACACTCTTCGTCTGCAGCCTTCGTGATCATTGTAGTGGTTTCGCCGATATTAAAGATGGCTTGTTTGCCACCCGCACCGAAATAGTTTATATTACTGTCCAAATATCGAATCATTCGTCGAGGACTCGGCGGTGGCATTGATTGGCGATCACGAAGTCCACTAAGTGGTAGATGCGATGAATTAAATGAAGTCAAATCAATGTTATTGTGTGTCTGATTTGATTCATTGTTGGCACCATTTCTGACAAACTTCGAGCACTTAAATTTGGCCCAATTTGTCAAATCGTTTCGACCCATTCCACAGCCGTTGTCGATAATGACGAGCAATGAATCTGATCCATAGTCATAATAACGGATCTCAACAAGTCTTAAACCGTCGTTATCCTTAGTGGCGGCCAATGAGTTATCGATCAATTCTGCTATTGATATGACTACTGAATCGATACCTCGGGAGTCATAGTACTCATACATTCCCGACTTTGTTATAGTGTCCGGATGTGGAGCGATATCGACCTCACATTTCATCACATTTTCTGATCTATAAATAATAATAATATCTTATAAGAAATAAGTAAATGTCAACCAAATTGTGTCAAAACAACTCACAGCGTCTCATAGATATGAAGCTCAAGATCATCGGTCATCACATCTTTGAAATTTTCGGGACAGAGTGGGGTGTTGTCAGTCAGGGTTAACACAAAATCAGTCGTATTATTAAACTTTTTAACAAAATATTGGTATAAATCCATACAATTGTCATCAATTTGTGACAACCGATACACACTCCTGGCATCGGCTGATCGATTTGGTCTCAGGTCACGAACCGTTATATTGCAATACATTGTTTGACACAAATTTATAACTTTTACTTCAAAATAGTTTCACAAATAATCAAAAGTTAAATTTAATAATAATTATCAACAAAATAGTCACAAAAAAGTAAACCTAAATAATAATAATTATTGTGTAAAACATTTGTCTTAAATGTCGTGTTGTAGTGAAACACGTGTCACGTATTGTAATACTATTGAGTGAAATGAGTGGTCAAACTAGTGGTCAAACTAGTGGTCAATCAGTTAATCACTTGATTATTGGTTTTAAAATACTATATATTTTACAGTACTATAACTTGTTATATGTTTTACAGTAAAACTTGTAAACAATACTTCAATTCAAACAAATATCAAAACATTACATCAGTATTATTACAATCAGTCATATGTTTTCCATATATGTCTTTTGTAACACAAAAAGTAATATTAATAACAATAAAATAGCAATTGTTAAGCAAAAACTGTATATAAATTGAAAACTACTAAAACATGAAACTGCAGATAAACTATGATTGAGTGAGTATTAATTCATTCATTAATGACGTCAATAATGTTTGTTAAAGTGTTGTAATTATTGAGTATTTATTTGAGTAAACATTAGGACAATGAGTGGTCAGTCGGCGTACCGTCGGGTCACTCAATGGATGGTTTTTTCGAGACAGTGGTATCTCTATGACGCCAAATGGCAGGACGTGTTTGACTCGGCAGAGCTGATTGGCCGTCACCTTCACGGTCGACATAAGCCGATCTACGATCCCGAACAAGACTGCGGTGACCACGTGGTGGTGATTAACGCGCGACACGTGGCGATGCCGGCCGATGAATGGCGTTATCGTCATTACTATCATCACACACATTATGCCGGTGGCAGACATTGGGCCACAGCTCATGAGCTGCACCTCAAAGACCCGACTCTTGTTTTATATAAAGCCATTTACAAAGCCGTCGGAAACGTTAAACTCAAGCGACAGGAATTGATCGCTCGATTACATCTGTATGCGGACGACAAAGTGCCACAACATATAATGAGGAATGTTTCCGATCAGATAAGACAATTGAGAACCGTTGACAAACCAATACAACAATACACTAAACAACAAATCAAAGACTTTCCCAAAATCTTTGATTATCCCGAAGATTATGCCATCAAATAATCACAAGATTTTTGTTTAAAATTCATAATTATTTGTAGTTTTCTTTAAATCATTTATAAAAACATTTATTAGTTTTTCAATTATAACTTATTATATATTATGTAATACTTTTTCTAATAGATTTAAATAGAAATTTAAATTATAGATTAAAATGCTTACAAATGTATTGATTATAAAATTAAAAAATTATTTGAATGATAATTGAAATATACGTCAAATGACAGTTCAGACAGACTGTAGTCTTCTTGTGTCGACTTTGTCTAAAATGACGAGTGGTTTAAGTGAATCGGAGAATGCCTTCATTTCATCGGCAATTCCCTCCTGACCTGCGGGTGCGTTGACACTGAGTTCAACCAAATATGATCGCGAGATAGCCTCGAGAGCGTCGGGTCCGACGTGAGGTTGAGTTTTGAAGAGTTTGGCCACAATTACTTTCATTCGTCCCTTTCGGAACATATATCCTTTGAGGACAAACTCGTAATCCAATTTAAAACCCATTTCTTGAAGAAATTGGACACAATCTGATGAAGTGCTGCAATCGATGCAATTGCGGACAATTGTTGCCCTATTTTTGTCTCCCAATTCTTGTTGTCCTAAATATCTCAAATGGTATGGATTGTTGGGTACATCCAATGATTTCCTGACCCGTAGTGAAGTGTTGGTACCATTGGGTGCTCTAATAGTGAACACCATTTCGTGGTCTTGAAATGGTTCGGCACTGGAGTCACAGTTATCACAAAATCCGCGCAATTTATGCAACAATTGTTCACAAGAGTCGTCTAAAATGCTTCCCGAAAGCAGATACTCGTGTTGTTGACCTAATCCAGTGCCCGATCGACGCCCACTTGTATTTGTCATCGACTCCATCACCGATTGGATCCAAACATCTAATTGTCTTTAAATTATCAAAACATTACGTTTTCATCAAATTATTCAAAAGTGATACTCATTTCAAACATTACGTCAAATGATTGCAATCATTATAATACACAATGTTTTACATTATGAGTCATAATTTATGACTACATTTACTGTACAATAGTTGACATTATTTTATCATAAATTACTTTTATTTAAAATTTATTTAAAATTACAATTTGTTGTAACATTTTGTCATTTCTATAATTACATTAAAACTTTGAAAAATGGATAGAAACTAGTTTTATGATATAAAACAATATTAATAAATCAATAAATTAAAAAACAGCCTAACATTTACTAAAATCGTTATTAAACATTTGATACATTACTGTATTACATATTTGCTTATAAAAAATATACAATAGATTAAAATAATAAGCAAATATATTTTAAATGTATAACAAACTATCAATTCAATTGAATTTCACTAATAAATTCAATTAAATCAATTTATATAACTGTTAGCATTTAATTTATATGCATAAAATAAAAACCAATATCAGTGTATTAGTTAAGCAATAATATGTTGTATAAGCGACAAATTAAAGCAATTGCCAGTTAAAAGCAGCCAAATTGCTGGATGTTTCCAATGCATGTGCTATTTGCTCGGGTATGCCGTGTCTGAGCCATATTTTGTGAAGTTTTGCATACGACGACTCACAGAGATGTAATGGATTTCCGCGAATCAATCCCTGATCTGTTTCGCCGTATTCATCAATATATGGCGGCGCCAAATAACAACCTATAAATACATACAGTATATTATAATCACATTTAGCCAATACATTGCATATACTAAACCTTTTGTTTTTCCGGCCAAAAGCAATATCTTACAATCCCTGATCCTGAGGAACATACCCTGTCCGGCACCACAAAAGTGTGAGTGCCACGTACACGACCCAACCATTGTCCCCTCCAAATCATTTTGACAACAATAACTGTGTGAACATAATATTGTTCCGCAAATCTATAATTAAATACAATATGTTAAATAGATTTATTTATAAATAAATCTATAATTTAATACAAACCAAACACATAGTGGGAGATCGGGAGTCATTTCCATCAGAGTTAGGACACGTAAATTGAGACACACTATTGATGAGATCGCTGTAATCATTGGGCAAACGAACCAAATAATTGAGTGAATGCGGTTGTACTATAAGTTTGGGCTTAAATTCTAATAATGAGTCCAAATCTGACTTTTCATTAATTATAACATTAACTCTTGGATGTCGGGCCCATATAAGTGCCAATTGTCTTAACGAAGTACTCTCAAGAAGAACTGAAAATTTCGAACTCAAACCCAAATAATGACAAAGAATGTCAAACTCTTCTACAGGAGTAACCGATTGATTGCTGTTATCTTTAAATTTTTGTGGCGGAGAAACGTTTGTCAGAAAATGAAAAAATAGAGCCACAGATCGTAGGAAAGGCAATAAATTTGTTTTTAGGAAGAGTTCGATTTGCAACACATTCGGCACCTTATAATTACTCTGACCCGAAGCTATCATAATCTCTGAATAAAATGATTGAATCGTCCGATTAACCGATTGACCAGTACTTGAAGTATCAAACTCTTCCACTTCCATAGGCTCTTCTGTATAGTTATCCGGACTTTGGGTTAATATTATCTAAAAAATAAATATCTTTTATATTATAATTGCGGTAATAATAAAAAATAAAATAATAATACCGGTAATTACCTGAACAATATTAAAAACTATCATTAAGTTAATATAATGTTTATCCGAAACATTTCCCAAAGACATTGAATACAATTTATTGTTGCATTGGCTATCGGTGTCCAACAGAAATAATGATGGAGTAGTGATCACAAGGGATATAAGCAATGACAAGGCGTCCAAATCAAGACAACAGTTATTGTTTGTAATGTGACAATCATTGACCAGAAGATATCGCATAATTTTAATGCAATGACTTTTCATAATCGGACCGTTAAATACAGCAATACTCGAACCGATATATCGCACGAGTGCTTTAAGACAATTGTATTTACGGGACGAAAGATCGGCAAATATTGTCTTCTCCTCCAAACGAAGCATTCGTTCAATCGATTGAAGAGTGTAAGAACACGACCAGTATATCATTAACGATATCCTCTCATCTTCTGAATTTGGATTCACTAAAAGTGATGTCTAAAATATTTGATAAATTTAAGTCTTTGTTTATCATAATTATATTATTTAAGACATACAGTATAAACGTCTTGAGCAAAGTGTTTCATAACATCCAAAAGTGATTGAGAAAGTTCTTCATTTTTAACGACATTGTCTTGATATTCATCGAATAAATTTTCCAGATATTCTTTGAACTCATTCGGGACATTGGCTAAGATGTCTTTAAGATGCGGTAAAATACGATAAATATATTTCTCGTCAGAATTTTCTACTCAAATAATAATAATTATTATTATAATACTAAAAATCGCAATAAATTTAATTATAAATACATACCATTAATTGAAGATTCCGTACAAAAGAGAATATCTTTCTCGACAATAGCGTGTAAACCAATTAACCAATTAGTTAGCGATATATCAGACTTTTTTGTTTTATTCTTTACTTCGTTATCGATGGCAGGTATGATAGGTATGACTGAATTTGATAGACATACACAAAGTGGACATAAAAATTCATGTTTGTCGACATCAAAGCTAACATGTCTTCCATAACGAATAGGACGGCGCCGTTCTTTAGCCAGAACTGAGTCAAAAAAGTTTTGCCAACAGTCAGCGTGCATAACATGACCACATGTACTTATATGAGGTCCAAAATTGAGGTCAGAGGTCACAAACAATGGATTCATATTATCATCATCGCTGCCTAATTTTCTTTCTCTGTTTTTTGACAATACTGTCGATCTTTGAATAAAAGCGGATAAAACAAGACAACGACCTGTTATAGAAACCTCTTGTTCTTCACGACAAAGAATACATGTGTGGCGTTCATTGGTAATACACTTTCCCTTTTGGTTCTCTCCGACGGCAATCGACTCAATAACTGGTGGTTCATAAGTTAAGTCCATTAATGAGTTTGAATTGGAAACACTTGGCTGACAATCATTAAAGAAATCTTTATGTTCAGCGATGAAATTCTTCTGCATTGCTGTCATTTGAGCCATTATTCTATCTCTTCGTTTGGCAGCCATTTCAGCAGATTTTTGTCTATCAATTTTACCTTTTGACAAGTTTTCGCTTTTATCTCCTATTTCTTTATCTCTCTGATCTTTGGCAACAAATTCTGCTTTCTTTATCTGCAAGACTTCATTGAATCTCTTTAGAGTCCATTTTAATAAATCTTTGTGAATATCGATTCGTGAAACTATCGGTCGATTTAAACATTCTTCTAATAATTGATAGATTCCTTTATCAATACACTTCTTAGAGAACATGAAATTAGGAACACTTCCTTTTGCTTCTTCATGCAGACCGACACCTATTATATGCAATACTTTTTCAAATTGAGTTTCAGAGAATGAGATGGCATGAAGATTACAAGTCCTCTTCAATACAGCTTCAATCAAATGAAGCATTACATCGCAATCTATAACATAACTTATTGATGAAAACTGTGGCGCAAAATCTGGAGGAATGGGTGGCGGACAACAAATAAGTTCCTCTCCATTCTGTTTCTTGCGTTTCATTTGCGATTCTTCAGCACATGACTGGTCTTGTCGTGAATAATGATAGAAAAAAGTATTAAAATCTTTATAATATTCAGGTTTTAATTCATATTTTCCCGTCGTTGGAGTTGTCGGGCGCTTAAAAATAGCCACTTCTTTGATTATGTCTTCAATACTACAATTATAAGGAGTTGTTTCCTTTGATAGTAAATATTTAACGAGTTCTGAGTGTGTCATTGGACTCATTGATAACCATTGAATGATTTCTTTCTTAATTCTGTCGTCATGTTTTACTTTTCCCACTCCGGGAACAAATCGTTCGGAAATTATTATAAGAATAAGTCCAAGAAATTCTTCAACTAATGAAATAGTTTGTCTAACAAAGTCTTCTTCTGGTTTGCGATTAACACTTTCATAGTTGTCTTGAGACCAGAATAATAGATTAAATTTGTTAAGAATATGAATTAAATACTCATTTGGTTCACATCGCGCGGCACCGATTTGAAGCATCAATATGTCTCTGTCGTACATTTCATCTCTTAGTTTGACGCTATGGTAGAAGTAAACCTGATTTACAAGAGAGTATCCATTGCGTCTCCACATACCAGCTCTGAACTGGGCTATCATTACTTGAGTCCTAAGCGGTAATTCAATTAACTGTATTGGAGTTGGCTTTTTGTCAACAATAAAGTTTCTTTCGTTATAATTTAAGTCATATTTTCCTAATTGCAAGAGAAGTCCCGCTACTAATCTTGAAAAAGGCAAATGAATAGTCACTGGAAGTGACGATACATCATAATCGAGACAATTGGCGTGATATCCACATAATTCCCATTCATTTGATGGACAACTACTTATAAATTCAGCCAACTCTTTAAGAGTATAACGTAAAGCCTTAATTAGTGTTGACCGATCTGAAGAACACCATTCAATAACTAATCCAACAATTGGTGCTAATCTAAGTTGCAAATTAACACCCGTTTCCCACTCGGCCTCGAATTCTACGTGTTGTCCAACTTGTCTGACAACTGCATCCATTCCTTGCATCCACTTTAACATATCAACCAAAGTGTTGAGTCCCAGCAGAAAATTCTTTCTTAAGTCATCAGTCCATTCGCTAGGTTTGGCAGAGAGGATGTACTTTAAATCAAATAGTATATAATGTGATCTTCTGAATGTAGTAATGGCTGATTGATTTCGTTCAAAGGCCAGCTTTCCGTCGTGATTGCGATGACGACCGCATTCGTTAAGAAATGTTTTCAAAAGAACTACTATAACATTCTCTTCGGCAATCAATGTCTGAGCCAATGACGGCACTGTAAACAACTGTAATGACAGCGATGTGATTGATATACTGTGGTCGTGATCGTCGAGTATAAAGTCATTCATAAGGTGTCCGTAATTTCTTATAAAAACTTTTGCGAATTCCTTTTTGCTTCTCGAGTCCATTAATAGTCCACTAATAAATAGTTGGTGCCATTGGTTTCTCATAAATTTCCACAATTGTGTGTCGGCGCACATAATTAGTTCCAAAAGTGGGGAATCAGGTGATGTAATGCCTTCACTAATATATACATCTTTAGACATCAAGACTTCAACCAAAATACATCGAAAAGCCTCACAATAGTTGATTATCTCATGTAACCAACTAAGCAATCGAGTGGCAAAAGTTTGATGGGCAACAATACTGGTATGCATTACATCTACTCTCACTGGTTTACTTCCGTGTCTTGAAGTGATTTTTTCAATATTAACCTTCACTTGATTACAAACTTGTAGTGTAGAGCACTTGACTATACTTCGACCCTCTCTATCAATAATTGTTGCATATTCTGTGGCTTCTTTAGGAAGACAATCAATAGCTCGGCTCAATGTATTGATAACCTGTTCATAGGTATGGATTTCATCATTAAATAGCATTGTCACGTGTGTGTCATCTTTTTCAGCTATAGTATCCTCTTCTCTGTTAATAAGATCTTCTGGAAGATCAAGATTTTGATTCCACGTCAAGATCTCAAAACAATAACATAAAACAGCTTTGAATACAAGTCTTGTTCTGTCGATTATATCCGACAATTCCGGCGGTATTTTCTTTAACGGATCGTTCATTTCATTATCCTTTAAAGTAAATATAAGTTATTTTATTAATTTAAGAAAAAAATTAAGAATAATTACCATTAAATTATTAGATTGATTGTGAATATCACAAAAAGGATTTGATTTCCAGGCCTCTGAAATGATTCTGTCTGTTAATAAACAAAGTTTTTAATTAAAAAATAAACAATTAATTAATACCTTTGTCGCCACAATCACAAAAACCTGATCCACCACTAGATGTACTCATTTTGTATCTATGATTCTTGTGGTTACTATCAATGATAACAATAATCATTAAATTAAAAACTTATTTTACATTTGATAATATCTGTTAAAAATGTATTTATTTATTATAATTAAATATAGAAATAGTGTTATTATATAATATATTGCAATTGTTTGTTGATATCATATGTCTTATAATCAAATGTCACAATAAATACCTGTTTCTGAAACAATCGACGCAAAGGACACATAACGGGTCGAGACCGCAGTCACAGCACGAATACGTCGGTTCTCCCGCTTTGAAAATTCGTCCGCAAAGTGTCGGCGGATCATCCGTTTTGTTGAGTCGACTAAAGATTGTCTGTGGAGTTCGGACTCCAGTCATAAAGCGCTCTAACGGTGCTATCAATTGATTTTTGGCCTCAATTTCATTAAATTGAATGTTAAGACAGTCCGAGTCGATGGCCGGTGAGTATAGTTTGGGTACAGTTTGGGCCCAATGTTGGCGAAAGTCTTTAACGGCAAGAACTCGACTCTCGTGTCGTTTAAGCCATTGTTGACTGAATTCATCGCAGATGTGTGTCATCGATGAAGAAATCAATTCATTGTCACACATGTCTCACCTAAACATACATTCATTACTATTATCATTACATCCATTGATTACATACCAAATGATTGCAAATTGTATCCAATATTTCAAAGAAAGCAATACTTGTTGTGATTATTCAAAACAATTAATTATCCGATTATTGTCTCAAATAATTAAACCAATTGTTAGTCATTGCGTTCATTGACATCACATCTCATGCATTGTTGTAATGTTAAGTCAATTGAATATTTAATACAATATTTAATACAATATTCAATACATTCATTGCTTTCTTGTATACCAACAGCTGATAAACAGCCATATTATGCATACATTCAATCATTTAATGCATTCAATACTCAAACAATTGACATTCAAATAGAGGGCGCATATTGTCTGTCATTATACAAAAATTTTGATTCAATTGTTAATTTTAATTTTATCGGTAATTTAAGAAAAAAATTATAAAATTACAATTAAATATAAGAAAAAAATAATAACTAATAATAATAATTAAAAAAACAATATAAATATAAATTAAATAATCTAATTAAAACTAATTTTCAATATTATTATAAAATTAATAGTGACAAAAGTATTGATTGATTATTGTAACATGTATTACATTATTATTAAATTTAAACTTTAATTAAAATTTAAGATATAAATTACATTATTTAATACAATATGTAATATAAATTTACAGTAAAACTGAATGGCATTATTTGTATTAATACAATTTATTAATTTCAATAACAATTTAAATATTAATAATTTTAAAAGATTTTTATTTTAAAGCCGACTCTAACGTTATTAAATACAGTATTAACGTTATCATCATTTTTATATAGATAATAAAAATAAAATAAAATAATAATATTGTTTATTTTATATATAAAGTATAACTAATTTAGACTATATATTTATACTGTATTTATATTAATTGTATTTTTAATAAGAAAACTATGTGTCTGAATATACATATACTTATCAACTTTTGACAAATAATGCAAATTTTATATCAATAATATTTATAATTAATATAATATTCACAATTTAAACTAATAATTATTTTATTAACAAATTATAAAACTGTATTAATTGTTTTAATAAGTATTTTAAATATATAATTATTAATTTAAAACAATTGAACAATGTATTGAATATTATCTGATGACATCAACTTTATAATTAAACAATAAACTTAAATTACAATATACTGTATTATTAATTTACAAACTTTGACAACCAATGTATGCTAAATACTGTACTGTATATCAAAATATAGATGCATTAGATGTCAGTGCAATTGTGTTTAAATCTAATACTGTATTAAACACTAGAGTGTATGCTCTAAATGATTGTTAACATAGAATATACAGAATATAAGGTATATATAGAATATGCGGAATGTTTAGTGAATTGTCAGTTAGTATTCAGTGACTTATAATAGCCGCCACTCTTTGAAATATATTTACTAAAAATTGTCTATACTTTAGAAAATTTTTTATTTATATGTTTCTTATCAAACAAATTTTGAAAAATATATAAATTAATTCCAAATATATAGCATTATTTAATAAATGAACCTCAATTTATTATAATTTTGTTATTTTTGACATATAATTTGATTTTGATGACAGTATTTTAATAAAGAGCTATATATGATATTAACTACTGTATTGTTATCGAAATTTTTAATTAAAAACATTTGCTTTTATTAAATTTGTAGTGTTTTATTGTATTTTTGTGTTGACATTTGAATTTACTACCAAAAGTGAGTATTTCACATAAACTAGATTTACATAAATTTAAATATTATTTTTATTGTACCATGCAATACAATATTATATATATTGTATATTAAAATTTAGTTATAAACTATTTATGTTTAATTGGTTTTTTATTTCTTACATTTGCATTGAATAGGTTTAACTATATACCAATTATAAGTTATATTGTAATCTTTTATAGATAAAATAAAAATTTTAAGTTTAAAATTCATTATAAGAATTTCATAATAAGTAATATAGTAATAATGATGTACAGTATTATTAAAAAATATATTATTAGTGTTATATATAATATAAATATTTTTACAGTTGTAATGAATAAATATAATGTAAATGTTGATATTTTAAAAACTAAAACATTTTCTGTTTTTTTATTTGTTTGTAACTTATTAAATATATGATGAATTTTTAATTTACAATATTTATATTATTTTATTATTAAACCGAGCATTTAAATTATAGTATATTTTTTGTAATGTATATGAATTTAATAATATTATATATATTATTGAAGAAGTTTTTGTTATTTTTCTCAAATTTTAATTAATTTATTCATTTTTATCAAAAAACGTGTTTTGTATTCTATAATATAAAATATATTTATAATTTCACTAATTTCAAGGGTCTATAATACAGTAAATCATTATATGCTATGAAAAGCTTAATCTCTAGTGTTATACATAGGCGACAAACATTGCATGCAAATGAACCTCTAATTGAACTTAGATTTAAATTGTTTTATTTAAATATATTTTAATTACTTAAATATCAAATAAATGTTATAATCTCTATATTTTGATTTTTAATATCTAATAATATTAAAGTAATATTTATTTAGTTGAATAGTTATATTTCTTTCTCAATGAAATATAAAATAAGATTATATACATTATATACAGGTAAATAAATATAATTTAATATATTAAGGAATCTCAAACTTTCACCTTTAATGTTAATAATATAATATATTTTACTGTATTTTAATGTGAATGTGAATGCATACTAAATAATGATTGGGTCAAACAAATGTATTATTTTTTATATAAACACATTCACGATATGCTTGGGAGACATGCAATCCAATGGTTTCACAAAACTAGTTATCACTGATTGGTATAAATAAATTATAATCAAAGAGTGTATTAATAATAATGATGATAATAATAATGATAATAATAATGATTTGTTTATAAAAGACTGATTTATTTATGATCTTTATTTAATTTGAATGTATCAGTACTTTGAATAAAGCAAAACATTAAAACTTAAATCAAGTGTTTTTAACATAAATATTAAACAGTAATTCTTATAACAATAATTAATACTATACTTTTTACATAAACAATTATTGCAGTATTTAAGAAATAAAATTTAGAGTTATATAATCATATGTATGAATATTTGGGAATCGCTAACAAACTGAGTGAGTGAGTGATTAAGGAGAATAAGTGAGTGAATGTGTTTGTGTATGTGTGTGTGTGTATGTGTGTGTGTGTGTATATGTGTGTGTATGTGTGTATGTGTGTATGTGTGTGTATGTGTGTATGTGTGTATGTGTGTATGTGTGTGTGTGTGTGTGTGTGTATGTATATATATGTGTGTGTGTTTGTTTGTGTTTAATAAAACAATACAAAGACAATTGGGAAATCATAAGTGAAATCATAATACTGTATAAGTAATGTATAAATTATGTATTATATTAAAATTGTACAATATATACTAAATATAGTGTATTCATGAAATATAATATACAATATATGAAATGCATTCATATATAGTATTTGTTTTATTCATTTTTCAAATTATAATAAATAAATAATTTTATTAATAAATACATAAATTATTTGTTTGAAAAATAGGATTGCTTATTTGAAGACAATGTTCATTAAAAATATTACATAAATTTATAATATATTTTAATATTTAACATTTTATATAAATGTAAGTTTACATATGTTTGTGTAAGATAAATCTTTTATATTATTAATGATTTATTGATTTGGATGTTTTATTATATATTTTTACATAATTTAAAAAATTATATTAAATATAAAATCAAGAAGTTTAACTAAAAACGGATATTTCTAAAATAATAGCATAAATAAAATGTATATAAACTATTAATATACGGTATATATATAATAATAGTGTAATTATGTATATATACATTATACAGGGTTAAGTAAGGGGGGGGGGTAAGGCCAAAATACCTAAGATCGCTAAGATCGAGAAATTGGGATTTTACCCCCCCAGACTTTTTGACCAAATTGAAAAAATTGTCGCTTAAAAACGAGGAGAAATGATCCCCCCCTAAAATTTCGGCGCCTAAGGCGCCGAAAATTTTTTTGAAATTTATAAAAATTTTAATTTTAGTTGATACTATTTTAGTAAGTGTTTTTATGTTTTTAATATTTATAAAAATCTAATTATTGATTAAAAATAGTTAAAATAACGTTAAAAGTCATCAAAAAATAACATTATTTTAATTAAAATAAACTAAAAAATTAAAAATTACCTATTTGTTGAAAAGAGTAATCATATTACAATTTAAATATAAGTTTAAGAAGTTAATAAAACAATAAATACTTATGTTTTTATTAATAATTTTTAAATTTTAAATAAAAAAATTAAAAATATTTTCAATTTTGTACTTAATATAATTAAACTTTAACGAAATTTGAGTTAAATAAGTAGTATTCAGTCAGTATTTGTATAAAAATAAAAATATATAACAAACTATAAACATTAAGTATTGTTTAAAAAATTAATTATGTTAAAAGTTAAAAATTATTAAAATACTAAAAATAACTCATAGTGTATCATTAATGCTTTTATCAACTATTTTTTAAATCTTAAATAAATTATTTTATTTTTTTGTTAAAATTTAAGTTTTTATTAATTTTTAAAATTTTTTTTTAAAAATATTTATTTTTTGTTAAAATTTAAGTTTTTGTTAATTTTTAAGTTTTTTTTATATTTTTGGAAATTTTACCTATTTTCCCGGGAATTTATACGGGAACTTGTGGGAATTTTATTGAATTTACATGGGAATATTCGGGAACTTAAGAATTTTTAGGGAATTTTCTCTAGACCCCCCCTTTGATTTTGGATTTTTGAAAAAATTTCCGTTTAAAAATGCAATAAAAATCTTACCCCACCCAATACCCCCCCCCCCCAAGATTTTTTGAGAATTTTGTAAATTTTACCCCGGTCTATCCCCCCCCCCTAAAATCCAAAACCTTGCTTAACCCTGACATTATACTATAGTATATATATACATAAACGATATCATTGAAGACTATTTCTATATATTAACTATTTGTCTCAATATTGTTAAATTTAGTTCAAATGATTATTATTATGAGAGAAATAAATTAATATTACTATTAGTTGTTATTCAGAATTAAATGAATCGATTAATGTTTATTTGAATCATCAAATTATTGATTTATACTATAAATAGTAAAATATCATATATTTACTAAAGTTATTGTTATTTATTATATATTTTTCATTGATATTTATACAAATAGTAAATTATT